TGTACAAATTGTCTTTCACATCAAGAAAGGCTATTCTATGCCTTCATATTGATAGCTACTGTCCTATCTCAAATCATGGTTCTAGGTCCATGTGGATATGGTTTGAAGGATTAAATTGCTTTACATATTACTACTGCCAAATGATTACTTTTTGACATCATACCCAAGTTGCCTTTCACATCAGGACAGGCTATTCTCTGATTTCACATTGATAGTTGCTGGTCTGTCTGCTTTCACATTGATAGCTACTTGCCTGTCCCAAACCTAGTCAACTGTGATATCAGCTCTTTCAGGGCAATAGGATGAGCTGATTGGTCCCTGGAAGTATCCTTAAGTCAGGTCATGATGTAAGTTAACAATGTATTGAGATAGAACAGTAGATATTACTATGAATGGCTTTTTCTGGCTTGAAAGCCAACTTGGGCATGATGTGAAAAGCTGATGATGTGGCAATAGCAATCAATATGTAAAGTCATGTGAATCCTTTAGCCAGTTCCCCATAAACCTACAAGTATGGTTTGAGATAGGACAGTAGCTATCAATATGAAGGCATAGAATAGCCTTTCTTGATGTGAAAGACAATTTGTACATGATGTCAAAAGTAAATGCTGCAGCAATGGCAATATGTAAAATCATGTCAATCCTTTAACCTCATCCCCATAACCTATACAGAGTCAAGGACACTATAAACTATATGTCAACTACAAACTTTTGTAGCCTCAAAAAGCAGACACTACAAACTTTTCTAATGCTAAGTCCAAGCTTTTGTAGTCTAAGTCTGACTTTTGTAGTCTTTTGTAGTCTATCAGTAAACTTTGTAGCCTATGTCCAACTTTTTTGTAGTCTATCAGTAAACTTGGTAGTCTATATCTAACTCTTGTAGTCTGTCAGTGTTGATTGTTCTTTTAGGGAATGCACCTTCCTTTTTTGGTCAATTTTCCCACGATATGATATTTGTTGCCCTTTCATCCAGCTTTCTAAATGTGTTGGAATCATGTTATTTAGTTTTGTTTTCATGAAGAAAAATGCAAAAAACCAAAAAAAAACACAACACTTTTGGAATTCCTTTACCTCATATCTCCACAACAGGAGCACTTCAGAACATAATTCAACCAGATTCGGGAAGCTACAGTGCAGGGGTACAACTTTCGCTTTTTGACTATTTTTGGTAATTGGTCATGTGACCACCCTCCCAACAACCCATGTGATACATATCATCATTATTATATAGTTTTCGGTAATGAAAGTGCCAAAGGGCCTAATGAAATATCCTAATGAAAAATCTAAGAAATAGTAATGAAAGTGCCAGGGAGCCTAATGAGAAGTGATGAAATCGTCAAGGTGCTCAATGAAATATCCTAAAAGAAATGGTAATGAAAGGGCCAGATGCCCCAATGAAATCTCCCAATGAAAAATCTAATGAAATGGTCAAGGAGTGTAATGAAATATCCTAATGAAAGCGCCAAGAAGCATTCTAATGAAAATTCAATGAAATGGTAATGAAAGGGTCAAGGAGCTGAATGAAATATCCCAATGAAAATTCCAAGAAAACCTAATGAAAGTGCCAAGGAGCCTAATGAAATATCCTAATGAGAAATATAAAAAATCGTAATGAAAAAGCGCAGGAGCCTAATGAAATATCCTAATGAGAATTCTAAGAAATGGTAATGAAAAAGCGCAGGAGCCTAATGAAATATCCTAATGAAAATTCTAAGAAATGATAATGAAAAAGTGCAGGAGCCTAATGAAATATCCTAATGAAAATTCTAAGAAATGATAATGAAAAAGCGCAGGAGCCTAATGAAATATCATAATGAAAATTCCTTTGAAATGGTAATGAAAAAGCGCAGGAGCCTAATGAAATATCCTAATAAAAATTCTATGAAATGGTAATGAAAAAGCGCAGGAGCCTAATGAAATATCCTAATGAAAAGTCTCAGAAATGATAATGAAAGGGCCAAAGAGCCTAATGAAATATCCCCATGATATCTCATTATCCTTGTCTATAACTTATGAAAGATTCCAGTGATAAATTGAATGAAATAGATGGGCAATCCTAATGAGATGCCTTTCATAAAACCTGTGGCATTATACACAATGGCTCTTGGACAGTTGTCATAGATTAATCATAAAAGTGGTAGCCACCAGTCTCACATTCTACTTGAACAGATGGAGCCTGGCCTAGGTGAGAAGTTACTGTTAGACAACTTGCCCAAGGACATCCACACAGCACGAAAGATTTTTGACCTGGACCCCAAAACAACCACATATGCAACATGCCCCTCATGTTCCAACATCTATCCACCTGGTGAGAAAGATGGAAGAAAGACCTACCCAGGAATATGCAATTTTAAATGATTCCCCACGAGCCAGCCGTGTGGTGCACGTTTGACAAAGCTGGGAGTTAAAGACGGGGTTAGTCTTCGAGTGCCCATTCGACCCTATGTGATGCAAGACTTTACTGCCTTTGTTGGAGCGCTTTACACCCGTCCCAGCATTGAAGAAGCCATTCAGTGGACACGTGACTGTATGGCTGTGGATGAGTTGCGCGGAATCAACCAAGGCAATGTCATTCGCGAGTTCCTTGACGCCAGTGAGGATGTTTTCGTCGACGCTAACCACGAAATTCGCACAGTTTGGAGCATTAGCTGGGATGGATATAATCCATATCATAATCGCACTGCTGGAAAGTCGGCATCAGTCAGATCCCTTGCTATGGGATGCATTAGCTTGCCACCTAGTATTTGTTACAAGCCAGAGAACATGTATCTTGGTGGTATCGTTCCAGGTCCCAAACAGCTGAGCTTGGATGGCTTGAATCTGTTTTTGGCTCCTTTGGTTGATGTCCTTGACCATTCTTATCACTGCAGGACATGGTACAGCAAAACATATGAGCATCCTGAGGGCCATCATTCTCACAAGGCAGTGGTGGTTGCCATTGCTGATCTTCCAGGATCCTGAAAGCTGAACAGGTGCGCAGGCCACTCAGCCAACAGATTTTGCTCTTTGTGTTATCTATCGAAATCAGACATCAATAACCTTGATTACTCCAACTGGAAGAAAGTTACACCAGAGGAGCACAGAGCAGCCGCAGAAGCTTGGCAGGATGCTCATACTAAATCGGAGAGGAAGAAACTTTATAAGAAAACAGGTGTCTGGTGGTCCGAACTTTTGTGATTGTCGTATTGGAATCCCATTCACTGGGTCATTGTCGACAGAATGCATAACCTTTTTCTTGGCTTGGTCAAACACCACTTCTGGGTTGTGATAGGAACACACTGGGAGGAGCCACCTGATGACTTGGATGTTACTGAAGAGCAGGAAGTTTCTGAAAAGGAGCTTAGGAAGGCCCATGCAGTGATGGCCAGCAATCCGTCTCAAGGATCTTTGCACAAGTTTTCAATTCCGGTGCTCCACGTGCTTTGTTCTGAGTGTGGTATTCAAGATCAGATAAAATTCAAGGGAAAAAAATCAAAAAAGTTACACTTCATCAGTCCCCTTTTGGTGAGTAAACGTTCTTGTGGAGACACAACTCTGACAGTAAAAGATAGGCATCTCTACCTATGCAAAGCAGGTCTAATCCTGCAGCCATGATCACCCTGGAAGGGGGTGAGAAGGATGACATTGAATTTACGCAGAGTGTTGGCCTTGAAGGTGGTCTGTTGGAAATCATCATCGATCTCGGTGACGAGACCGCTAGCAATGACTTTGGTGCGATGCTCCACACAGAAGATTTACGTCAGATACAGGAAGACATCAAGAATATGATGCGGCCCACCTGGCAAGCTGGCCCACCAGCCAACTTTGGTTCGCCTGCTCACGGGAAACTTAAAGCTGATCAATGGAGAACATGTATCGAGTTTTACCTTCCAGTATCATTGATGAAGATGTGGTCAACTGGGGGTGCTGACGTTCCAGATGAACTTTGGCTCTGGCGCCAGCAGGTAGTCAAGAGCACAATGCTGTTGTCGATGGCAATTCAATGGGCTACTTCACATTGAACCTCCACAAGACATGCAGAAGCGGCTCGTCAATACTTGGAACTCTACCTGAGAAGCCTTCGGGAACTTTGCCCGAACATGGATCTGCATCCTGTGCACCATAACACGCTGCATCTTCCTGATTTTCTTTTGAGGTTTGGGCCCATCCATGGATGGTGGATGTTTCCTTTTGAAAGATTGATTGGCATCCTACAGAAGGTCAACAACAACTATAAAATTGGTTAGTTCAATCTTTATTGTTTGAAATGACCCATACATTAACTATCTGCTGTTCCACACAGGAGAACTTGAGGCAACAACTTTGAAATCCTTCTGTGCAGCAAGCCAGCTGAAGGTCCTGGTTGAACACCCAGGGTGTCCCAAAGTGCTTGAAAAATGTGTACCCATTCTTCACAAGTGCTTTCTGAATTCCAAGATTGGTACCTTGATGCACGATATTCACACTTTAGATCAAGAGGAGCATGCTAAAAAGGTCAAGGTCAAGGAGGTCGATCTTGAGGAAGACGTCCACTGTGCATTCGAGCTTTATACAAAAGAGAAGCAACCGAAACGAGTGATTCAATACGCACATTATGATATCAATGGTCAAGGGTTCACTATGGAGAACACAACTCCCTGAAACAGCATCATCTTTTATCAACCACCAAATCAACAAACTCTCGTCCCAGCAGTTATTCGGCAAATCTTCTCACCTGTATCAAGAGGAGGTCAAATTTTTATCGCTGTTCATAGATATCGAGAAGTGGAAGACTCAACTTTCGAAAGTTACACTAATTTTGGAGCAGGAATTTGGTCGCAAGAGAGGAGCCTTCAAGTTGAAATTGTGCCAGTCACACAGAAGATATACGCTGCGAATCGACGACAGTGGGCACACAACAAAGTTGTTCTTCGCCCTCTTATTGAGGTACATCGGTTCCTTTCTATTTGAGGCCATTGTTGACTTACTGTAAAATCAGGATTTCTGAATGTGCACTCAGTCCATTATCGAACACACATTCAAACCTTTATTGTACAGAGTTTACTGTACATATTATACAAGAAGTTCCACCGTAACAAGGAGGGAGATCAACTACGCTGGAGATGGTCCTATAAGAAAATATTAGGGAGGATATATGCGTGAAAACTAAACACTTACGAAGGATGGCAACGCTTTTGGAGGTTTTGCCTTGAGCTTCTGCTGTCTTGATTTGCTCAGAGACTTCCACCACAAGTCGTTGTAGTAGTTTGTAGGCAACCCAGCAGCCACCTGAGGGAGTTTAGTATAAGCTGTATCGACTAACATACTTGCCTCCCGAAGGCGTGTGATTGGTGCATTACCAGGGCGCCGTCGCTTGAGGCCTTTCCCGCAACGTTCAACAGCGTCCCACAGCAGTGACACTTGGTCATCCAGCCAAAACTTAGGAATGTGAAGCAGAATTTTAAGCAGAACAGACCAATCAAGACAGGGGAAGGCTGTTGCAAGAGCCGGACAGTCTCATGTGAAGGGTGTCCAGCCTGGTCATCTACAATGCGGAGATGAAGTCGTCGTCGTCGGCAGAAGATTCAGAACTTCCATCATGGGACATTGGTTCACTGTTTCGGTGGGAGGCTGACCTCTTAGTGGGTGATTTCTTTGATGGTGTTGCCTTTGATGGTGACGCTATTGTCTCTAAAGCCTCTTTCACCCCTTGTTTCACCCCTTCCTGCACAGCTATTCCAACGCCATGCAGAAGAAGTGAGGTAAGTTCCGATGACCGTTATCTTCAGAGGTGCCTTCCATGTTGTGGTGGATGTTTTCACTATTCTGCAATTTCTAAGTGGATGGATTATCTTAAACACGAAATTAACTGACTGTGATAGGGCTAGGGTCATTGATTGGGATGTTCTACAATCTCTAAGCCAATATATCATTTTCAACGCAGAAGCGACTTATGGTGATAGGCCTGGGATTAGCAGGTGTGTTTTCCGACATGTTCACGTCTTGGTCCGAAAGCTAATTCCCATCGCCCAGTGAGCAAATAGAATAGGAGAGAGATAACTAGGAGGATGAACCAAGTGAGAAATTGTGGTCGTGGTCGCATTTCCTGGCAGAGTTGTTTGTGAGCCTGAAGCATGGCTGTAGTTTCGAGGAACAGGTATTTCTGGTTGCAGCTGTTGGCCAGTACTTTACCATCCCCCACATAATCCACATGGACTCCACTGGATTCCACTGGATTCCACTGGACTTCACTACATACTGGCAATATCCACAAATCTGGACTCCACTGGACTCCCAGCACAAAACTGGACTCCACTGGACTCCACTGGACTCCACTGGACTCCACTGGACTGGACTGGACTGGACTGGACTGCAAATCACAAAACTGGACTGGACTGGACTCCACTGGACTCTCCCAACACAAAACTGGACTGGACTGGACTGCCACAGACCTAAGTTAATCCAGAATTCCTCTTCAAAACAAAAAATAAAATTGAAGTATATTCATTAATTAAATTAATTAAATTTACATAGATTCTATGTTACAGAGTGGGGAGGGAGGGGGAAGGGAAAGGGAAAGGGCAGGGGAAAGGGAAAGGGAGGGG